ATATGAGAAACTACTTTGGCAGTAACAATACACAATGTACTAACCATTGTTACTCTCCTAAAATCTTGTTTTGAGATTTTGTACCATTGGTTTTTTTTCTTTAAAATAAAAATAACCGATGTCAGGAAAAAAAAAGAAATCTTTAAGGAAGAAAATGCATATATTAGAAAACAAAGCAGACAGCTGCAGGAAATTGAAAGAAAGCAGTAACAAGGCACATACCTATTAGAAGAGAAGGACCGGAAGTTGTAAGGCTCTGAGGCAGCATGTGTGCCCAAAGGGACAGAGTCAGGAGAGCTGTGGAAAAAAAGAACCCCCCACACCATATAGCATGCAAAGAGTGCAAAACGCCTCACAGCGTGCTGCAGGTTAGAACGGACCCATACCAGGTGAAAGGGTGTGAGACATTTAGATTTGGGCAGATCATACTTCAAAAGCTCTTAGGTCTACAAATCCATTAGTAGTAATTTGCATTAAAACAGAAACTTAGTGTACATGGGTGAGTTTTCTTCTGCAGTTTATCTGAATACAGATCACCAGTCAATCAATGGTCAGGGAGTTAGTTGAGGTCACAGCCACTCTGGCCAAGTCAATCTACCAACGCACTTCAGAAGGACCGCAATGGGTTGCAGTTAACGTGTTGCACTCTCTTCCCTCTGTTACAACACACAGACTCCAAATGATCCCATCTACCTGCTCTCCTTTTGGGACTCTACTTCCTTTTCCTTGGTGGATAAGGGCGAATCCTCAAAGTCATAGGAGAAGAGGTGGAAGGGGCTGTGCGGAACGTAGGGCAACTTGTCTATGGCTGGTGACACCTTCAGTGTGGAAGAGGTGGGTCGAGTGGTTGAGGCCAGGCTCGGGGGTGGCAGAAGTGCTGGCTGCGGGGCCTCAGGCCCGGAAGACCCACTGTGCAGGGCAATCCCCTGGGCAGCGTTGGCCGGAAACTGATCTCCCTGCAAGCTGATGCTGGAGGTGGCCGAGAGGGCAGGGCTGTCCAGAGCAGCACCGTTCCCAGTGGGGCTCTGCTCAGGAGCAGGGCTCACTTTCCTGTTGGCCCAGCAGAGCGGAAAGGAGAGATTTGGGAGAAATGAAGCAAATGTTAGGACGAGTGAGGAAGAAATATATCAAGCCCACCAGGGGATGGCACTGACTTCAGGTCTGCTGTAGTCTTTCAACTGCAGCATGAATGTCCAGTGGGACCTGGCCTGGGGCACTTGCTGATCTAAGGATAAGACTCGAAGATTACAAGTCTTCCACCCTGCACCTGGCCTCTCAGTGGATGGAGGCCTTTGGGAGGGAGTTCACCGGGATCCCTGCAGCTCCTCCCACCCACCTCCTGCCTCCCCAGGCTTCTCTCCACCTGTTACGTGGGTCACCAGAATCCCACAGTTAGAATTTCATCTCTTGTTCTTAGAGGATTTGTTCTCTTACTGAAAAGCTCAGCTTGAAGTAGAAAAAAAAAACCAGGTTCCTTAGTAATCTTTTCAAAGCCTTCTTTGAAAGCAGGCATAGATATAAGAAAAGGAGGAAATACCAGCTAGAAATAAAAAAAGCAAAGAGATGTCAGAGGATGAAGAGAAACTGATCATTTTACACTGTTTCCAGGCCCACTGTTAGGCCTTCAGCACCTGGGCTCCTTCACACAGGCTTGCAGTTGTGGTTTCATAGTCTTCTTGTGCGCGCACACAGTATTTATGGGTAGTGCTGGATATGCTTATTAATTTGATTATGGTGATCATCAAACAATATACAGACATAGCAAACCAATATGTTGTATTAACTATATACAATTTAAACTTATACAATTGTTATTTATTAAAAAATTTTAGATTAAAAAAGCTTTCCATCTTCAAGGTGAATGGATTTGGATATTTCAATGTGCTCCTTTATAACCTGAGAACCAATGCTACATTTTGCATTTTTAAAACCATAGCCCCTTCCTCAGAGATCTTGACTTCAAGGTGTGCCCAATTAGACACACCAGCAGCTGTTTCCTGCCTCAGATTCTGAGGTCTACCTGTGTACAAGGGACACAGCAGTTCCCACAGCAGGAAGGAAGACGCGCAAGGCCATGCTGCAGGTGCTCTGCATAGTGTGCAGCACAGGGTGGGGGGCAGGAGGGAACACGCACCACACAGAAGCTGGCAGGAAGGTAAGAAGAGGGGAGGTCAACCCTGCAGATAAGGCCTTGGAGGTTTACACTAGAGAACAATCAACATCTGGACCAAGGTTAATGAATACATACTGTCAAGATTAAATTCTTCAATATGCACACATTTATTTCCTAACTGGAAGCTCTAACTACCCTCTGATGAAGAATGCTTTCCATTATCAATGTGTGCAGTTAGAGACACTTTGACCCCTAAGGGAAGTAATCATCTGTGCATTCAAAGGACAATCCCAAGTAAAGACATTACAGCATCAACGGTGGTGACTGTGGAAGTTGCCCTTCCCAGGAAGCTTCTTTCACCTAGTCTGTGGAGGCTACAGTGTGGCTGTCAAGGGCCTAGGGCACTTAGTGATCACAAACATCTGGCTGCAGCAAGATGCCTTAGGTTTGCCACCACTAGCTTAAGGGTTTGGGACTAAACATGTGCCCTTAAACACAATATGGCTATAACCAGTGTATTTATTAAGAGTCCAGAGAATAATTTTGTGTGGCTCATTTTCAGCCCACCACACTTCTTCCTTCCCAGAACTAATCACTGACAGTAAACCTGTGCCGACCCTTCCCTCCTCCTGCATTGGGTGGCTATTTCTCTATCATCAGCCCCTTCCCTTTCCTCTCTGAGCATCCTGCTAGCTTCTTTGCAAACATTTCCAAATGTGGGTGGTGGTGGGATTTGCAAAGACAACTGTTAGTGTGTCAGTACAGAGAGGGTTCTACGAGCCCTTGCAATGGTGGGAGACTCATTATGTCAAATGAGGACTTTCACATGCACAGATAATTGAAGATGAAGCATGAACAGCAGAGTATCCTGGGAACTTTCAAGTTGGCTGTAAGATTATTATATTTTAATTCATCTAAAATCCTTTTGATTTTGCCTATGTGAGGAAAAAACTAAGAGTGACAGTGTCAATGTGCAGTAGCAATCAATTCAATGAAGGAAACTATTCAATTTTACATTTTTGGATATTGGAAAATAAAATTGTCTGAACATTTTTCTTTTAATAAAGCATTTGTAACCACTAAGAAGAATGTATTAATTATGTTTTAACTATTGAAACTATCGTACCGATTTGATTTGAAACTGTCTCATTGTTATTTGTTTATCAATAAAACTATGGGAAAAAATCTGAAAACTAATTTGAAGACACCTATATGCTATATAACAACCATTGTTGAATTCCTGTTATCAGTTTAGTGAAATTTTGTACTGTTTCTAACATATTTTTACTATTTTTGTCTATGCTCTTTAAAAAATAAAAAGAAGCTGGAGACATAAAAAAAAAAAAGCATTTGGGGAAATGCCTACAAAATTCAAAAGTTCTACAAGATGACTGTGTCTTTTTTCATGATGGGACTATAATTTGTATGCTACCCGGAAGCTCTCAGCCACCAATAGTAGGTGCATGATTGTCCATTAGGGGACATGGGACAATGCCACTGCGTGGTACAAACTGTATAACACAGTTATGCATGTGCAGGTATGGTTCAAGCCAGCAGAAATGTGTTCACGTTGACAACAGATGGAAAGAATGCACTCTGCAGAGGTGACCAGAAGACATCAGATGTCCAAGGTCTGAATAGCTATTTTAGTTGTTCTGGACATAAAATTTCTGTCCTAAACAGTGTGAAAAATGTTCTGGTCCATCTGAGTTAAAAATATACTTGAATCATTAATATAGTAGTTTTACAATCATTTTAGCTAATATTGTACTAGGAAAAAAGAATCCCAGGGGATTTTTACTATAGTGCTGAAAGGTCTGAACTCTGTAGTGGAGAGGGGCATTTTTAGTCACCAGCAGGCTGGCTGAGCTAACTCACAGAAGGAGGGCAACAGTGAGCAGAAAACAGGCTGGGTGATCAGTAAAGCGGGATATGAATAAAAAAATTCAGATGCCAAATGAGAGTGTGCTGTTATTTCTACAAGACCTGTCACCTAGTGGCTCTATGCATAGGGCAAGTGAAGTTTGCTAGTGTCAGCTGCTGAGGAAGAGAGGAGATGGCTAAAAGGTGGAGGAAGGGAAGACAGCGCTGAAAAGGTGGCACAGCAGCAAACTAGTCACACCTCAGGCTCTTGGTGTGAGCCTGAGAGGGTCCAGCCTCAGTACCTGTCCTTGCCCTGACATTGGGCTTCGTCCTCCCTCTCTTCCTCTGAATTGGGTTCCGTGACTGGCTGCTCCTCTTCCTCAATCTCCTCCTCATCATCATCCCTGAGACAAGGCCAGGAAGAGAGAAAAGCACACAGAAGATGGAAAAGCGAGATGACCATACAAACAGATGAAACGATAAAAAAGCAACCCAGCTGGCGGAAATGAAAAGGAGCGCTGTCAGCCTGTTGGCACACAGCGGACAGTTCTGAGACAAGGAACTTTAAGCACAGACAAGATGCCATCACCCAGAGGAGCTCAGACTTGTCACAGTGCCTGGGTGCCACCCTGCACCCCCACCCTTGGGCAGGGTGTGGCTATGGCTTTTGCTTCCAGGCGATGACCAGCTCCTGCAGCACCCTCAGAACCCTCGCATCTTCACTGCATCCCTCCGGTTAAAACCACGGTGGGTCAGGGCAATCTGGCCCCAGCTCCATGCTAGACACAGGCTTCAGCAGGCCACTTTCTCATCATCAGGAAGTAGTTTTAGAGGGCAGATCTACCCTACTTTACATGATACCTGTTCCAAAAGGAGCCAGTTCCTGTTACCCTGGGCTAGGAAGGAGAAAGCACTCCCCCTGGCTATTGTAACACTTGTATCTAGCAGTTCTAAAGTACTACCCAGGCCTTCCACTGATGGAGCTAACAAGATTTTAGCTTAAGGTAGCTTAAGTTAGAGCTTGCCCTTGAAGCTAAAAGATTCCAGACTAAAAACTTTGATAACTAGATCACTACTTTCCTTTAGCCTGTAAGCCCCGAGGACATTGACTTACATCACTATCCACAGGGAAGAGCAGGGCTTCTCAATCCCTCTCCTTTCTGAACTCCTGCACCCTCAGCTTGTTCTCCCATCAGCCCCTCATACCCTGGACCTCGTCTTACAGAACTAATCCTACCACAGCCCCCATGCACCCTCCCACTAAAACCCTTCTTCAAGCGTGCAAAGACTTTCAATTCTCCTTTGTAAATGTCTGCCAGCACCTTCCTGGCCTCTGGCTGAAGTCACTGTTTCTCACCTGGGCATCACCGTGCCATTCTGTCTCATTCTGGCATTGCTTTTTAACTCTCTAGCCTTACTATCTGTAGCTTTGCTTTTTCCATTTACTGAGCTAGTGATACACAAAGAAAATTATACAAATAACTGCATTTTCTCAAACATACTCATCTAACCAGGAGCTACTTAATGGTTCTTTACAATTACTTTCCTTCCCCATCTTACATCAACTAGCATTAGGCAGTTTCGCTTGGTTTTCTTCTTTACCTAACTGGAATAATAGTAGGACTAATTTCCTTTGTTCAGCATTAAACTTGTGGGATTCATCCACAGTTTTATGTAAAGATCATGTAAGCTTAATGTTATATATTATTGTTATACAATAATATATACACCAATAATACGTACACCAAAATTTAGTTATCCATCTCACTGTGGATATTTGGGTATTTTTGAGTTGTGCATTATTTTGAATTGTGCTATTATAACATTATAGTGCACATCTTCTGGTGAAAATGTAGGTATATGACTGCGGAATATATCCAAAGCCAGGATTGGAGGGCCATAAAGTATGTGTGAGTTTATCCTTATTAGTTCTACTTCAAAAAATGGTCAGGCTAGTTCAAATTCCTGTAAGCAGTGAGAGAGCCTTCCAGTTGCTCCACATGCTTGCCAAGATATGGGATTTTTGTGTCTCTCTTAGCCATCTGCTTTCTGTGCAGCAGTGTTTCATTGTGGTTTTAGTTTGCTTTCTTGATGAATAAGGTTGGGCACAGTGTCATACTTTTAATGCCCACTTGAGTATCTTTTTTTGAGGGGTTTAAGTACTTTGCCCATTTTTTTAAAAAACCAGACTGCCTTTTACCTTTTGAAATATATATATATATATATATTGGCATTGGCATGTGTTAAAATCTCCCTTCCCTTGGTTAGTTAATGTCTTTGCACGCATTTCCCATGTCTTTCAGGGAGTGGAAGTCCTTAAAGAGATCCTAATTATCTTGCTTTCTTTTCAGGCTAGTGTTTTTACTGTTCTGTTTAAAATGTATTTGTATCTCAAAATCTTAATAAAGTGTCTATTGTCAAATGCTTTTGTATTTGCTTACCGAGATAATCTTTTCTGAAATTATAACAAATTAAAAGACTATATTTTTAAGAGCAGAATGTATTTATCATTGGAAAGAAAGCTTCTGTCTGAGAGAGGGACAGAAAGAGAGCCCCCCAAAAGACTGTATTTTTAAAATGTTAAGCCAACTCTGCATACTGACAGTAAAGAACTTCCTTGTAAAGTATTAGCCTTTTCATATAACTAGGTTCTGATCTATAATTCTTTCTTTCAAATGTGCCTATCAACTTTTGAAATCAAGATTGTGCTGATCTCAGTAAAGAACCACAGTGTGGAGATAGGTTAGCACAGGTGGAACTAAAGAGGAAGAAGTTGATCTGGAAAGACTTAAAGCAGCCTTAGTGGCTGACTAGCTGTGGCAGGAGGGAACAGAGCAGTAGCAGCACAACCTCAGAGTCATGTTTCTTGGGATCTTGGACTGGGGCTGCCTCCTTCAGAAGTGAAGAGGCCAGTGAAGAAAGAGGGCAGCATCACCCGTGGTACCTGAAGTCCCAGACCAGCACAGCTCTGTCCCATTTGTTGGTTACATAGTTCTGGAGTGGTGGGGCTAGACAGCAAGCTCTGATCCTTCTGGGAAGCTAAGGGCCCCAACTCAATTTAGAGGTAACCAGCTGTAACCAGCTCTGTCCTTCTGGTAGCCTCAGGGCCCTCATGGGCCTTGGTCCTTCTGTCCTTCACATGCTCCCACTACACCAAGTTCGACACCATCCCTGCAGCCTTCAGCTCAGTGAGTGATTTACAGATGAGGTGACTTCTTAGCTGCCCAGAATACCCTCCACCTTGATGAACTTGGACCTCTCCCCTTTAAAAGAAAATACTGAGGCCCTCCCTCTAAATTGAGTTGGTGCCCTTAGCTTCCCAGAAGGATCAGAGCTTGCTGTCCAGCCCCACCACTCCGGAGCTATGTAACCAACCAAAGGTGGGCCCGCTTTCTTCATCCCTATACGGGTAGGAGGAGGGCCTGCTTCCTAAGTGCACAGCATTAATATGCAAAGACACTTTGAAAAGGCCTGGCATATACATAAAAAGCAAAGCAGCTTGTTTTAGCTATTTACCTCTGATCACAACGCCATCAGCATCTTCCAGTCCTCTGAGGAAATCTCTACCCTCACCACCAGCGGACACTAAGAACTCTGATTCCCAAAGGAAGGAGGCACAGTACTCTGCAAGTGTCCCAGGCCATGCACAGCAACGTCTGCCCTTTAGCTCTGTCTCTTGATCCTTCTCCCTCCCACACAGCAGGTCCAAATGTGTGAAGACAGCTGCCCCAACCTGCATGCCATGCTGTCTCCATTTCGGACTCCACACACCTGAACTCCACACTAAGTCTTCACATGCTGCATGTGATGCAGCCTTGCTGCCACAAATGGGAGGGCGGGATCAAGGCAGACATCACAGTGACCCCTGGGAGGGAAGGGTGGAGGAGAACATAGCGCATTCTCAGGGCACAGGACCTCCTATGCTTGATTTCATTTGGTCTCAGCCTATGGTGAAGTCAGCCCAAATGGGTTTTACCCGATATTATCATCTGAAGAATTGATTCAATCTTGCTTTTCCCACAGATGGATTTTCTTTTAAGTATAACTTTATAGTTGCTTATATTTGTACGGAGGAATTCTGGGTGTTTCGCCTCTGGCTTTCAAATATCTCTGTGGGGATTTTTTTTTCCTCTCTCTTTCTCCTTAATTGATAAGGAGTTGCTTTTGGGCATAAGCCTGTTCTCAACCCATTAGCTATTTCCTTTGTACCACGTATGATTCCAGATTTGATGCCATCCTTTTCATCTTAGAAAAGCAAGCTACATCCCTAGTCTGACCAACTGTGTAGGGCACAGTTTCCATCAAAGTCAGTTTTATGTTCCCAAATTGGTGTCTCAGGCTAATGTCCTATCTTTTAGGCTTCAAAAAGACAAACAAAAAGAGAAAATGGTTATCGCTGAACTGCTTACAAAGCATGACCCACCCGAGGAGAGCACTGTGCCACGGTCTAGGCTCGAAGCAATCAGGGCGAAGGAATCATAGCAGCAAACAGGGAGAGACATTTGTACTATGCCTAGCAGATATCAGACTCATAACACCATACATGAAAATATTAAAAACCAAAAACATCATCTATAACAATAGGCAAGACACATAAGCACAGGCAATAAATGTGTACAAAATATATTTTAATGTCCGCAAGCCAGGGGATCACAAATTAAAACCCCAGTGAGGTAGCATTTTAATCCCACCTGGCAAAATTGTACTGAAGAAAATGTAGGCTAATTCTTTCATACTGCTGGTAGGAATGGGCAGAGCTATAGTGACTCTGGCCACAGCACTGGCATTATCTTGCAAAGCTAACCATTCATATCATGACTTAAAAGTGGCACTGCTGGGCTGGCGAGATAGCTCAGCAGACTAAGCACCTGCTTAGGCAAGTACAGGAACTAGGGTATGAGTCCCAGTACAGCATGTCCTGTGTTCCTCCCCTCTGACGGCCGCACTGAGCCGGCCACTGAGACTGGGTGTGGTGGCTCACCCTGTAGTCCCAGTGCTGGGGAGGCTGAAAACAGGAGGGAGTCCAAGCTGTAGAGGGAGACCCTATACCAAATACATTTTAAAAAGTGCACTCCTATATGCTGTACCTGGGGCAACAGTTCTGAGTCAAGATGATTCTGTCCCCATCTCCCCAAGGGACAGACAGAGTCAGTGTCTGGAGACTTTGTCAGCTGACACAACTGGGTAGATAGGAGTGACTGTGATCTAGTGGGCAGAAGCCAAGGAAGCTGCTAAGCATCCTACAGCGCACAGGCCAGGACCACAACGATTATCAGGTCCAAAACGGCAGCAGTGCCAAAGCTGAGAACTCTTCCCTCAGGATGGGTGCACGAATTCTAAGAAAAGGCCAAGGATTCTCTTAGCAGCACTATGTGACCGTGAGAAGCTGCCAGTGAACCAAGTG